ACCTCAACAATTGATCCCCATTCAACTCGTGAGCGGCATACTACTGTCCTCTGTCCATGGTTCGGTGACTGCAAGCGGCCAAAGCAGCACAAAGGATGCCTCGCACCATGCATGGCAGTTGGGTGCTTCAGCAGATGCGTGCACACTTGCCTGGACCAACTTGCAAGCTATGGCCATCAAGAGCAAGCCTGTTTTAGCTTGTGAAGACCAAGGCGGCGATACCAGTTCCCCCTAGACCTCCACAAGTTGAAGTGTATCACAGCGTATGAGTATCAATGTCATGTCGCCGGGCTGAGTAGGCTGCACTGATGGAGGCCCCGTTTGTTCGTGGGTAGCACCGCCAGTGACTGTAAGAGGCTTGAGCAACGGCTCCGCACAGGCTTTCTCCTGAACGTCTATCATGCTTACTGAGCAGTCCAAGTTCCGCACGGTTAAGCACATTAAGCACAACTTTTAAAAGCCTAAGCTGAAGGAAGATCCAGGCGAGGACGACTCTGTCTCCGACGCTTTTTCTTCTGTACAGTGCCCTTTCGAGTGCCCACTTGTGCCACACCTGAGCCGGCGCGACATGAAGGGACTCAAAACGTGACGCCAAGCGCGTCAAGTTCAAGCAAAGGCTGTTGATGCCAGCGTGGCACACTGACCGGGTTGCTACTTGAAAATATGCTGATTTTGTTGACTGATTCTCGAAACGGCAAAAAGCCTGTGATAAATCTTCGTGCTAGCTTGTTCCCCTCCAAAAGCTAAAGGAGGCTGCAGAGGCAACGGAACAATGACACTCAAGAATGGCACGTCGCATTATGCACCTGAGCCGGCGCTAGAAATGCTCGTCACTGACGGTTCAGGGCTCCTCGCCTTGCAAAGGCTTCAAGACACGGCACGCGCTTCCAATTCCACTCAAAGACCCAACAGCATGACCAAGCAGCCACGACGGCACTTCCAAGAACCAAGCAACCATTTCGCGTACACTTCCAAGAGCCACGCGGCCACCATGATAGGTCAACTTCCAGGAGCCGGCCCACCACAACGGTAGGCGCGCCTCCAAGATCCAGCAGGTCATAAAGGAAGGCGCAGATCCAAGAACGATAAAGCTTCCAAGAACCAGTCCACCACGGGTAGCTACGCCTCCAAGATTCAGTGGATCATAAGTTCAAACAATGGTCACTCTCAAGAACCAGGCTACCACGGTAGGGACGCCTCCAAGTTGGGTCATAACAGTAGGTACAGTTCTAAAAACCGGGCGACCACGCTAATAGGTAGATGCCAAAGATCCGGATGACCTCGACGTATACTTCCACGAGCCGGGCGACCAGATGCTACATACACATTCAAGAACCAGGCAGCCACGATGGTAGGTAAAACTTCCAAGAACCAGCGCACCACGACGGTAGGTACGCCTCCGAGGTCTAATAGATCATAGCACTTTCAAAAGCGGCCACGACGGTAGGTACACACCCAAGAACCAGGTGACCGCGACGTACACCTCCAAGAACCAGGCGAACAAATGCACTGCAACATACACTTCCAAGAACCAGGCGGCCACGACGGTGTAAGTAAAACTTCCAAGACGACTGCAGATACACTTCCAAGAACTGCGACCGCAACGGTGGGCACACTTCTCAAGAACGAGGCGACCACGGCGACTGGTATACTTCCGCAACGGCAGGTAATTGTACTTCCACGCCAGGCGACCACGACGGTAGGTACAACCCGAAAAGACAAGCGACCGCGACTGTAGATGCAGCTCGAAGAACCAGCTGCCCACGACGGACAGCAGGCACACTTCCGGGGGGGGGGATCCTAATGATTCGCTGCTTCGCGTCTTCTCTTCCTGGACCCGTGACTCGAAAAAGAAGAATTAAACTTCTATCTCAACACCTCGCGGACCTCGCTCATTATACAACAAGCCAGCATGTTACGACTTGCTCGTTTCATGAATCATGCCTGGGTTTTTGGGAAGACATGCCCTGAAGCCTACCGGTACTGCACCAGAGCCGGCGCGGTGTTCAGTGCCAGGGCAGGGAAAAGCACGCTTCAATCAGCTGCGCCAAGACCCGGAAAAGAAAGCATGGCGTAATGAATGACATACAGCGCCAAGCACCTCAAAAACGACCCAAAGAATCTCAAAGCAGTGCTTTGCTGACTCCGGTGAACTAGTAGACTACCCAGGGGTTGGGGCGGCCAGTCACAAGCATAGTTTGAACGCACGTGTTTGTGGACGTAGTGCTTGTCTCAACTCTTCGCAGAATCAGCAAGCACTACAAGCCTTCGCATTAGCAACTGCCACACCTGAACCGGCGTGATTGGAAAGCACAGAAGCGGCTGAATGCGAAAAGGCACCTGAAACACAGACAAATTAGACTAATTAAGCGGCCTCTGCAAGTTGTGAGGTTTCCACAAGCTTCCACCGTCCCGCGAGCGATGTCGCTTGCTGTGGACAACCAACACTGATTGTTGCCAATGTTCCTTAGGGTTCTTGACTATACCTAGACTTAGACCTATACTATAAACTGAGTGTACAAATCACTCCTTTTTCAGTTTCGATGCGCTAGACTTCCGTCCGCGTCGCCCCAAAACCCTATTAAGGCCCCTATATTCGACACCAGATCCCCCGCAGTAGATTCCGGGACCTGTGCTCTATACCCAGAACTTTCAGCACAGGAGAGACCTGCAAAGGCTGCAGGAAAAGAGATCTGGCTGAGGCTAACCGAGGCTAACCAAGCCTGAACGGCAAAGGACTAGGGTCTAGATAGGGTTTGGGAAAGTTTAGGGTCGTCAAATCAAACACCGGAAGTATGGTTCTGTGGTTTCTTAACCCCGAAATAAGCGCGCTGTTTTAGGGCACTTGGTTCCTCCAAACACAATATCAGTGTGAGGGAGCCGTAAAAACCTTGAGGCGCCTACTGGGCGAAACGATTCATATCATTTTAAAACATTTAGACTCCTACCCGGCCGCTTGCCGCTTGACACAAGCTTGAAAGCTCTGCCTGCTTACCATCTAGCTCTGTGAGGGTCAGAAAAGTTGTGTGGCAATCCCTCCTGCGCGCACGCACTGCTCACGCCCATCTCTTCCAGTGAAGAACGGCTGCAGCGATGAAAGCCATCAGCAATGCACACCTAGCAACGCGAAGGACAACCGAAAAGGCCACAGGTTGTAGCATTACAGAGACTACTCAGCTGCTGACTTCTCGCGCAGGAAGGGCTGATAGCCCAGTTTTGGTGCTTTGTCCTGGACTGGCCCGAAATGGGGTTGTGCAAAGAAGGCCTTTCAAAGGAGGAACAAGGCATGCCAGAGCAAGCTGCTGCAAATCCTTGCATTCTTGAAAGTCCACCACTGAGTAGAAAAACTTCTCGATGTCATCAGCAAGCACCTTCGGCTGCTCGAGGGCGAAGAAATGCCCCCCCTGCAGGCCACTCGTATGCATTCTCAGCTCATTTTTCTGTTTGACAGGGTTTGGGGTTGTCCTCCTTGCCGCACCTTGCTGGGGGAGCTCCAATGCTTCACGTTGAATTTCAGCTCCACCATCTTCCTGAACGCTCCGTCACACAATGAGTCAGGGGCTCTGCAAAGTATGGCCTCTGAACAGGTGGGGCTGTTACGTGACCTTGCAGCAAAACCAACTGTTGCCTGGGGAGATTGAAGAGGTCTTTCTGGATGGACATCACAGCAGTTGGGACAGCCACGTAGTTCACCACGTTGCTTCTCTGCTTGCGAGCTCCTCAAGATTTCAATGAGACCAAAGTCCTGTTGATACCCTGATGCGTTTTCCCCTGCTCAAGCCCTGAAGCTCCGCGATGCTTGCCAAGACTTTCGAAACTTTCGAAGTAGACCCGAAAGCTGGATGTGATGCTCTGGGTCGTCCAAAAGGCCATTACTTCCTTACTCGACCAAGAGAACTGTGCGCTCGGCGTGGAGGCAATGGCAACAATGACGCAGTCTGCACGCCACCAGCAATACTTGCGAAAAATGCCCAAACTCACTATCGAAACTTGAAGCTACAAACATGGGCAAAGATTCCGTCAAGATTTCATCGATAGTTATGCCGCTGGCTTCAGGTCGGCCACCGTCATTATCGCCTGAACCCAGAATCCAGAACATCATTCCGAATTCCTGTCTTTGACTCAGGCTGACAACTTTGACTGAGGGGCTCCAGCACTGGTACTTCTCAAGGAGCCAAGCCAGCAGCCCTACCTGCAGAAAGTCAGCGGCAAGCTGAGGCAAGCGATCACTGCACCATATGCTGATGCAGGGGCGGGGCTGTCATTCATGCCGTAACCCAGGCTGTGTGGCTTGGTGGCTTGAATTTCCCTGTATGCACACCTGACAAAAGTCAGTCTTTCCAATTTCATGCTAACTGCACTGACTTGGTCTGCGACTCGTGCTTGTCGAAGTCCATGGTGCGCCATAAGCCTGTCTGAGGTGCCCTGGACCTACGCCGCAAACCCTGAACCCTGAAAGCCCCCAACCATTGCCTTCCCAATCCTGCTTGCTCCAAAACGGGAGCCCCAGCAAAAGCTTGAGGCCTGAGTACCTTGGTTCGCGGCAAAAGCGGTTTAGGGTAAGGTTTAGGCGGTTTGGGTTTCGGCGGTTTAGGGTTCCTATCGCCAAGCCACAAGTCATGCGGAGCTGCCACGGCCATGCATGTGTGCATCGCAACACCTTGCTCGAACTACGAGCACCTCTGAACCCCATGCCCTATAGAAATCCTGGCAAGCGAAAACGCCTGATGTGCAGCCAACGGCACATTGCTGCGGATAACGATCTGCAAGAACGGAACAAATGATCGCACCCACATCAGCACCATGAGCAACGTAGTGCGTGTAGCCCAGCATTCGCATGAGATCAGCCATGAGATCCTTGCCAGCACTCCGAGAGATTTCGGGCCGGTAAAGGTTGATGCAGTATGGTGCAGTCAAGGCTCGGCCATATAGGCTGTGTCTGCACCCTTATGCTTCGGGGCTTCGCTCCATGCGAAACCTGGCAAACCTTAGCAACGCGGACGCAGGCTGACGCAGGCGCAGGCTGACGCAGGCGCCAAATCGGCCAACTCTGACAAACTTTCTAAGTGTCAAAAGCCCGGCACTCGGCACGACGAGATGAAACCGGGTCGAAAGCAGCGGCAGCACCTTGAAGAAGTNNTCCAAGCCCTATATGGGCTCTAAACCCTAACCCTAACCACTTTAGGCATTGGGCTGAGCTGGGCCAGCCATGCAGGAGCAGCAGCGGAATCGCGTTGGAATCATGGCATCTTTGATGAATGAAGTGCATCTTCAAACCCCTGCGCAAGTCAAAGCGGCCGCAGGCAGCTGGCAAGCTGGGAAAGCACTTGTATGCGGCCAAGCTGCTGGACGGTCATGTTGAAATGCTGATACCGGTTCAACTTGGCTTCCTGCTCTCGCCACTTGAAGTTATGCAGCCAGTGGTGCACGTAGTCCTCGTGCAGTTCGAAGAGTGAAAAACCCATTTTGAAGCTGACGTGCAGAAGGGAACATCGCAGCACACTGCAACGACCTGCAGCGTAGAAAGGTCTGTTCCATACTCCCATGCTCCAAATGGACCAACTGTTCCAGTGCTCTGGAACCCATCCGACTCAATTCTTAACGCAGGGCCAGGTCGAAAAAAAATCGCGCTGTGATGAGTGTTGTGTGGGCAATCTTTCATGCGCAGCCTAGCACGTTCTACACCAAGTTCAGCAGAACTCTTCCCATAAGTATCGTGGTGGGAACCTGTCAAAATTTGGATTTATGGCCGTTTGCGGACATCCCACTGTTCAGCCCCTGCACAGGGCAGCTGCAACATGCTGCGAGCCACAGAAGATGGCTGTTGAAACGTCGTGCGGCTCGCAATGCAGGCTGGGACCTGGTTAAAAAAACGTGCCGCCTGCCAAAAACAGCAGCATTTCTGGCTTGTGCAAAAGCTTCTAGTCAAGTTGGTCAATGGCAAACTTGCGAATTTCTGTCGAATGCACCGGATCTCTTCTGACCTCCGAAGCTAAGCGGTGGAGAGCCCGCCTAGTACTGAACTGTAGACCGACATGCCGGACACTGTTACACATGCAAGAACCTCATGGTGGACTCTGAAAAACTCAGCAGGGCTGCCGGTGCGAATGAGAAGGTACACATGGAGCGGCATCACACGAAAGCTCTTTAACCCCATGAAACTCGACTCCTTACAGTATGAAGCCTCATTTTCCCCTGCCATATGAATTCCTCAAGAAGTGTCAACGAACAAATTTATCATCACGCGTGTCACGGGTAGTCTTAGCATCATAGCGCTTTTCTTGAGGTCGAAGATCCGAGCTTGCCGGAGCCGTTCTTGGAGGTTTTCCAAGTCCTGGCTGTAAGCCACACGCAGGAAGCCACGAAACAAGCCTAATCAAACATTCTCAAAGGCCTGGTTTGGAACATGGATTTGGAAAGGAACCGCGACCACAGCGTCTGACATCTCAGACCTGAAGTTCAAAGTGTTCGTGTTTGGAACCCATCATACGTCTTGGCCAAAAACCTGCGGCAGATGCTCTGAAAGCTGAATGGAACGGCTGGAGGCCTTCAGGAAAATCTGGTGGAAGCCGATGAAGTACAAGGCCGGTCACACTTTGGGGTTACCGTGGGATCTGTGCGAAGGGGCGCGCACTGCAAGCCGAAATGGGTCTGAAACATGCGACATGATCCGCTCTCTTTACGCTCAAGGAAGGAGTTGGGGACCTTAGCGTCCCCCCCAAATCCTCCCTCCGTGCTTTTCTCCATAAGTTTATGAAACCCCAACCCAGCATGTACGCACGCCCTATGGACCGGCAACTTTTCGCACAATGGAGGATGGTAACACAAGTTCAACAGTTCATAGCCGTCATAGCCCATACCCTCCTTTCAATTTACCACGATCTGATTCATTTGCAGATCCCCGGTTCCTCGGTGTTGCACGAGTCCATGCCTTGGGAACTTGGGAAGATTGCCCTGAATGCCGCACCAGATCCGGCGCTACACTCAGTGGGCAGGGAAAACGCGGTTCAACTGCGCCAAGTCCCGGAAAGAAAGCATGGTGCAACAACACTGAGGGGGAGCCTCAAACTGATTTCAAAAGATCCTGAAAGGATCTCAAAGGTATGCTTTGCTGACTCCGCTGAAGCCGGACCCGTGCGCAGGACAATCCGTACAAAGCATAGCTTGAGCTGAACTCCTGACGTGTTTATGGATGTATTGCTGTCTCAGCTCTTCGCAGAATCAGGAAGTCTTACCTTCGCATTAATTAACTGTCACACCTGAACCGGCGTGATTGGGAAGCAGAGACATGGGCTGAATGCAAAGAGAAGCCTCAGCACCCTAAACAGGCCCTAAACACTACCTCAGCCTCTTAGGCTTGTGAGGGTTTCCACCCTCCAACGATGTAATGCCTGCCACATTGCTCTTGGGCTGGTGCTGATTGGCGACAGCATGCAGCTGAACTCATGATGGCAGCTACTAGTTGGAACTCTTCGCCAGAGTCCGCCAGTCCAAGTAGCTCGTATTGACAGAGCACGCCTATACAACTTGCACCCGTGGGATACTTTCCGTTACTGGACGGCTTGCGGTTTGAGGTTGACGCTCTAGGACTCTAGGGTTTCCAGGGTTAATTAAAGGTTCTTTGAGCTAACAAGCTTCAATCAAGGGTTCATGGAATGCACCACCGCCACGACGACGACGACGACGACTACTACTACTCCTCCTGCGCGTGCTACTGCTACTGCTACTGCTACTGCATCGCTGTTCATCCATGGATAAAGCAAAGCAGTTTGGGGCACAAGCCCTGTTGCGCAGGGAACATCGAGTTGCTCGATGTCCCGAATTATTTGAGCAAGGAGCAGGGCCCTTGCTTGGTCCAGACGGCCAAACAACGACTCTCATGCATCTGCATAGGTGGAGCACGCGAACATGTCGTCCAGCCTGCGAAGACAGAAAACAGCAAAAATCCTTCATATCGACTTGGCCACTTATCCATGGGAACTCCGCCTGTCCAGACTCATCACCAGTGCTCTGGCATCACGATCTCCTGCGCCATAAGTGATGACCACATTGCTGTTGTGCACCTCGAGCATTTTTCGAATATGCGGCTTCTGTGCGAAATGTGTGTGCTCCTGTTTTCGGGGGTGAGAGCATGTCTACTACTGAGTTACTACTGGCGATAGTTTGCCTGCACTTCGAGGTGGTCTATCCAATGAGGTGGTGTGGCCTTGAGGCTCAAGTGGATCATGCCATCGCAGTAGACATCCGGCCACTCAGGCGGACATTGAGAGTTTGCAACGAAGCGGTTCCTTCGAGGAACCCCGTCCGCTTGATCTTGTGCTTCTGACGGCCCTGGTTCTACACAGGTAACAAGCTGCACTTCGCAAAGTGAGATCCAGCGATGCTTATGTTACCAATGTTCGCGGGATGGTATTGTGAATCTCAATCTCACAATTTCAAGACTTCCGCATGTGGGAAACATTGCAGTTGCAATTCTCAGCTTCTGGCAGCAAGTCCACTCGCAAAAGCAAAGGGGACGCCACCTCAACGCAGCGAACACACTAGTACCATACTCTGAAACAAACTGACGACCGACAGAAAGGCACACAAACACACATGCAGACACACACACACACACGGACAAAAATGCATTTTTGATGTTTGAAGAAGCTTTGGAGGAAACGCATTCACAGGCTCTAACGTGGTAGGCTGTAACATGGCAGACAACTTACGCGGACCCCTGCTGCGCATGATTATGCCCTGGCGCTCATTACTGCCTAAGACCTTTTCTGAATCCACATGGAAAATTGGATAAAATGGTTTTGCAATTAGCCGCAGCTATTGGATTGTGTACGTGTGCCAGATGCCGGTGATGACAGGCACGAAAACAAAAGAGATGAATCGAAAGATTTGGTACGTGTGCAGGCCAGACGCCGTGAATGGCCTGCGCAAAACAAATGGTGAGGCCCCCCAGACGCCCCGGCAGGGCTTAAGAGCGTGCGCCGCGAGAAAGATACCAGCCAGAAAGGGAAATGTTTACCTTAGTTTTCAAGGTTTGGGCTTTTCTACTGGGTTTATGTCTGCTGTTTTGTTGGAATTACAAAGAAATAAGTGATCGCGTGAATTCCATTGAAAAGCGAAGAAAAACACCGCAAAGAACCAAATCAACGTGACAAAAAGCCAACAGATATTAGGTTCTTCGATATTGACTTCGGGATCTTTGCCCTAATCGTCGAGAGACCCGTGACTTGTGGTTCGCCAAGGATAACAGGTCAATGTCAGCAGACCAATGGTTTCTTCTTCTCACTTGGGGCCTTCAGGTCTGCAGGGTTTCATATTGACCACAATTGAAGCGACCGGCCCATGCAGTGAGTTACTCTTCCAAGCGGAGCATCCCACGTCGTCCCGCGACAGTGACAGAAACTGATGAAGAGTAGATTGTCGAGGTGTCCACCTTTGAGTTTGAACTTGTGTTCAGGAGCGTTTTCAGCTCGAGAACTGTCACGATCATGGTCCTCAGGTGCACAGAAGCTGAGCTTCCATGTCCGTTAGAGTGTCTTAAGCTTGTATGCACAGATGCCAAGCTGACGATCACTCAAATTCCTGACGTGTGATCTTTGAGTCAAAAGAGGGACCGCGAATTCGAAGCCATGGCCCTGTCTGCCCGATACTCCTGAACCCGACGACGGTTATCACTACGACCCCAGGATGTATCACGAAGCCCAAGGAGATACACCTCCACAGGTTATGAGCCCAAGTGCTTTTGGACGGGCAGACGTAAGCGGCATGGCGGCAACAGGAACTGCTTATGACTCAGCTGAATCTGGTGGAGCCGGAGGAGGTGGGAGTACTTCGCAGCCTGTGGGACGAGCTCTGGGAGAGTTTTTTCTGCCTAACGGTACGGGAGTTGTCGGTCCGCGGGATCAACAACTCCCCTACGTGCCGGAGAGGAGACAAACCTTGGGGAGCAACATGACTACGATGGATGGAGTTGCGGCGGCTAGGAATGCTGGTTCTTATGATGGCGAGTTGCGTGGCCAACCATCCGGACCGGGCGACGATTTGACAACCGGACAGGGCGCGACGTTGCAGGATGTTCAGGGTGGTTTGGGGTTGGGTCAGGAACAGCAACCAACACCAGCCGCGCAGCAGCCTCACCTGACACAGCAGCAGCCTTCAGCCGCGCAGCAGCCTCACTTGACACAGCAGCAGCCTTCAGCCGCGCAGCAGCCTCACTTGACACAGCAGCAGCCTGCAGCCGCGCAGCAGCCTCACTTGACACAGCAGCAG